TTGGACAAGAAAGGGTCTAAAACTTTGTGTGTAAGACCTCTTTCCAGCTCTTTTCAACTATCTTTATTATGAGCAAGGCAAGTGCTGGACACTTGGATTTCTGACATGAGTAAGTTATGATCCTTGCCTTCCAGAAACAAGAGCCTGCACCTCACAAAGAGACCAAGTCAAGTTCCTTTTAAAACAAAGGTCTCTAACGCCTGACCTAGTGATCTGCCCATCTCAGCCTCTCAAACTGCTGGGATTACAGGTGTGAGCCACCGCATCCGGCCAAAACAAAAGGCCTTGTCTGATAATGGCTACACACAAGCCATTCTATCTGGGCTTCAAGCAAGTGTGGAAATAACTGAAGACCAACCAGATGAGAAAAGCAAACCCTGTTTATTCAGAGCTTGACATAACAAGGGAGTCAGCCGCCATTATTTGCATTTTGGCAGAGACTCAAAAGGGGCGGGAGCATGAGTGTAAATTTAGAATAGAACATAGGGAGAGTCCATTTCTACTTCCTTAGACTGACAGGCTCCAATTAGGCCACACCTGAGGCTGTGCCTGGGGAAGCTGCAGGTGAGCTAACCAGAAGCCTGGCATTCCATGGGATTGGTTAGGGGGTATAGTTGGCTTTCCCTGATTGGTCCTAAGTTGAAAGTGGAAACAAAACTTAGGAAAGCTGCCTGTTATTAATTACGTCCTGGCCATTTGGGGCTGATTGTTATAGAAGTTATTGTTTAGCTTCTTGGATCATGACTAAAGATAACAATCTGGTTTCCTGCAAGTCTGACTTCTAGCAGGCTGACTACCTGGGCTTTTCATTGTAGATCAGAGGATTCGTTTTTTAGGCAGGTTGCTGCAGGGTATGGGTCAGAGTTCTATTTTTATATGTGGTCCATCCATCGTCCATGTGTATATTCAGCTCTCCCAAGTGTAGGGTTCGCTTTTGTCCTAGCCCCAGGACTCCATTTGATATTGGTTCCCCTTCACAGTGCAAGCATGAGATGTTCCTACCTGGGCCTCCCTGGTGTCTCCTGACATGCTTAGCTTCATGAGAATGCCCCAGACTGACTCTCTCTGGGAATGGCTCTTTTTTGACTCATTGCCCTTATTCCACTCTGTGTAATATAAGGAGAATAAGCCTTGCCCACAAAGAAACAGTGAATTATCATCTATAAAACAGCAAATTCTTGAGTCATTCACTACCCTGTGCCAAGGACCTAGTTGATTCCTAATGGTTTTAAGCATCTATGGGCATAAGCATCCATTTGCAAGCATTACAGCAACACTATGGCAAAACAGAAAATGCAAACATTGCTGAATGAAAAGGCACTTACAGAACAATGTACAGCATCCCATTTTAAATAATATGTGTATACATAGAAAAATATAGAGAATAGACAAAAATCTCAGTTAAGTTCTTTCTCAGTTATAGGATTAAGGTTTGATTTCCTACTTTTTTTTTACTATCAATGTGCATTTCTTAGGAAATAATAATAATTTTCATTTATTGAAAGTCCACAGCATATTTTAAAACAAACAGGACCTTCTCAGAGCAAAACATCAGATTGGTTAATTCAGTAATAGCTTCCACCTACCATTATCCACTTCTATAGTTACCATCCTCTCAATAACTACAGCAAACCTATGAAGTGGGTGTTACTGTTCATTTTACAGATGAGGAAACCAAAGTGCAGAAAGTTTTTTAAAGGGCCGGACCAAGTGCAAAAAGCCTGAAACCCATGGCCTAAAGTGAGAACGTACATTCCCACTTGAATGTTGCCTTTTCCTAAACCACACATGGCCCCGCCCTGCCCCATCCTATGCCTATAAAGACCCCAGACTCAGCCAGCAGAGAGAAGCAGCTGGACAATGGAATGACTGTGGCTGGATGTAGGAGAGAAGCAGCTTGACTTCAGAGGGATAGCTTGACAGTGTAACTTCAGAGAAGAATTTGGCCCTGTGTGGGGTGGACTGCACCTGGTCTGAGTGAGTGGAGTTTGATCCCATCAGTGCCGGAATGGCCGGCCAGTTTCAACACTTGTGCACTCCAGTTCCCTCCTCATTTGCTCGCATGCTCCCTTCTGTAAAGTGTTGAGAGTGGTGGGCTGTAAATAGGCACCCCCTTTGTGAGTCCCGCAAAGGGGTCAGGGGGACTCTGACCATATCTTGCTTCATGTGGAAGTTCTTCAAAAAATGAAAACTAGAACTCCTGTGTGATCCAGCAATCCCACTTCTGGAATTGAAATCAGAATCATCTTGAAGAGCTATTAGCACTCCCATGTTTATTGCAGCATTATTCACAATAGCCAAAGTATGGAATCAACCTAAACATCTACTTACAAATGATTAGATAAAGAAAATGTGATATATACATACAATGGAATGTTATTCAGCCTAAAAAAAAAAAAAAGGTAATTCTGCCATTGGGACAACATGGATAGACCTGGAGGACATTATGATAAATTACATAGCCAAACACAGACAGACAAATACTATATGATCTCCCTTACATGTGGAATGGAGAATGGTAAACCTTACAGAAGCAAGAGTAGAGTAGTGGTTGCCAAGAGCCAGAGAATGGGGGAGATGGGGAAGGGATAGTCAGAGGGCACAAAATTTCAGTAATGCAGTAAGTTTGGAGATTACTATACAACATAGTACCTATAGCTAACAATACTGTGTCATATACTAAAAACTTTCTAAGAGGGTAGTTTCTATGTTAAGCATTCTTACCAGAAGATAATGGTGATAAACATAAAGAGGACAGGAGGAGGAAACTTTGGGAGGTGATGAATATGTCCATGGCCATGATGGCAAGGATGATTTCATGAGTGTATGCTTATCCCCAAACTCACTGAGTTGTATACATTAACTATATACAGCTTTTTAAAATTTTTTATTATTTGAGGTGGGGCCTCACTATCTTGCCCAGGCTGTTCTTAAACTCCTGGTCTCAAGCAATCTTCCCACCTCGGCCTCCCAAAGTGCTGGGACTACAAGCTTTTCACATATCAATAATACCTCAATAAAGTGTTTGTTTTTAAGTGAATGCTAATCAGACTCTTGTTCTTTCCTCCCCTGAAACTATTAATTTTCAGATTATCTGCTGCTTTAGCTATTTGAGTCTATATTTTTTAATTTGAAAAAGAAGTAGATATTCATGGAAGAGATCTGGTGTGGAAATTATCTTGCAGATCATGAAGCAGTATAATTTAATTGTGTAAAATGACCCAAGAGGAAAATACTAAGATTCAACTTCAGAATTTGTAAAGCTTGTTATAAGGTTTTTGGAGACTAAAAATGTCACACTATCTTAGATACCAGGTCTGTAATAGGAAACTGAAATTTAAAACTGTGCAATTATATAGAGTATTCAGCACACATCCCCTGGGGTCTCTTTAATGTGCAAAAACTAAATAAAAGAGATAAATGTTTGCATGGAGTTGGTAAGGGCAGAATCTTGAATCATCTGAGTAATTTACTAAAATAAACCTCACCATAAACTTTGCTTGCTTTCTTCACCCAAAATCAAGAGACCTGAAAGTAATGAAAGAATTAGAGGAGAGGGTTTATATAGTTTTTATGTTTATAAAACAGTTGCATCTTTAAATGCAGAAAATGTCACTGTCAGGGTTAAAGAGTAATTTTCATCAAAAACTCTCTTTTGTTGATTACTTATAAATATATGCTCTTTTTTTAGCAACAAAAAAACCCACCCTAGCTTCCTTTTAGTCTTGAATGTCTCAGACGTGGTCTCTGCTCCCCAAAGTAACTGACTTTGCAGCAATTGAACAAAATAGTCTTCAGCAAAATGCTGTTTTTCACATTCAATGAAAAGCATCTCTACCCTTAGTGTTCCTCCAAGATGTCTAAGTCCAGGACTTCAGACTTGGCAAATGGATTTAGAAGCACCTATGAAGAGAAACAGAGCCAAACCTGACCGCACTAGCTGAGTGTTTTATTTAAAACATAAAGGTTTTCATCTACAGATAAACTAAGTGCTGTAATAGGAGTATTTCTGCTCAGTGATGAAGTCTTCCAGAAACAAAATCTCAAATGGAAAGGCTACCAAGTAAACTGAACTCTCTAAAGTTTCCTCCAGACAATAAAAGCCAGTTAAGTAAGACAATTGGAATAATTCATTCTCCAGGATCATAAAGCAAAAGGGGCAATATGAAATGCGATTCTTAGTTTGGAAAAAGAAGTATACAAAAGTCAGAAATATTATTCCAAAATAAAAGTGTGGGTGGGGATTAATTAAATGTTAGAAGCTGCTCTGATATGTTTTAGTCCACAAAAAAGAATTCTTTCCTGCCAGTACTTAGTGTCAGGTAGCAACCTCAAGTCTAGCCACTTTCAAACAAACACACAGGTATGGCAGCAGTTCAAAGCAGTCAGCTGTGAGTTATATCCAGCTGACTTCATCTTGGACCCTGTCTTCTGCATTCATTCCTTATCCAGCATGCAACCCGTGGTGTGATTCTGTCTACCACAGAGTTGGCAGACATACCTGGCACTTCTTTTGTCTCCACTTTAAGCTTAGAGTTTGCAAAAAAGCCTTTCTTCTCTCATTCTTCTCTGTCTTTATCTCTGGTATTTGACATGCCCAAATCCTTGTGATCTACTGTTATACCCATCCTTATATACACTTGGCTATATTCTCTTAAGAAGATAATTTCAAAATATATAAATCATAAATTGATAAGTTACAAAGAGAACCTGACACATTACAACTATAGTGAAAGATTTTAATGTTTCCAAAACAAATTAGGAGGAAATAAGATACAAAATATTCCAACAATAGAATAAACAAGCTTGATCTAAGAACATATGTCACATACAGAATGTTATTGCTTTTTACTACACACAAAACAATTTTTAAAATATCCTTGAAGTAAATTAAAGTGGTCTCAACAAAAGCCAAACAAATGACATCGTATAGACCACAGTCTCCAATAAAATAAGGAATCAATTAAAATTTTTAATCCATATGTTTAAAAACTAAAAATAGGCCAGGCGCAGTGGCTCATGCCTGTAGTCCCAGCACTTTGGGAGGCCGAGGTGGGCGGATCACGAGGTCAAGAGATCAAGACCACCCTGGCCAACATAGTGAAACCCTGTCTCTACTAAAATATAAAAACTTAGCTGGGTGTAGTGGCACGTGCCTGTAGTCCCAGCTACTCGGAAGGCTGAGGCAGGAAAATTGCTTGAAGCCAGGAGGCGGAGGTTGCAGTGATCTGAGATCGTGCCACTGCACTCCAGCCTGGCACCTGGCAACAGAGCTAGACTCTGTCTCAAAAAAAAAAAAAAAAACCCTAAAAATACACTTTTAGATAATTCAAGGGTCCAAGAAGAACTGTAATAAGAAACACAAAATATCTATAATTTTTTTTTTGAGACAGAGTTTTGCTCTTGTTACCCAGGCTGGAGTGCAATGGCGCGATCTCGGCTCACTGCAACCTCCGCCTCCTGGGTTCAGGCAATTCTCCTGCCTCAGCCTCCTGAGTAGCTGGGATTACAGGCACGTGCCACCGTGCGCAGCTAATTTTTTGTATTTTTAGTAGAGACGGGGTTTCACCATGTTGACCAGGATGGTCTCGATCTGTTGACCTCGTGATCCGCCCGCCTCGGCCTCCCAAAGTGCTGGGATTACAGGCGTGAGCCACCGCGCCCGGCCAAAATATAATTAAACAATGGAAGCATTTGTACTCATGTGCAACTAAATAGGAAAAGGTGTAGACTTAAGATCAGATTAGAAACAGAAATTTGTAAATTATTAATTAATACATTTAACTCCAAACATTAAAAACTTCAGCATAAGGGCTGAGTGTGGTGGCTCACACCTGTAATCCCAGCACTTTGAGAGGCCATTTGACCCCTGGAGTCTGAGACCAGCTGGGGAACATGGCAAAACCTCATCTCTACAAACATACAAAAATTAGCCAGGCATGATGATGCATACCTGTAGTCTCAGCTACTCTGGAGGCTGAGGTGGGAGGATCATCTGAGTCCAAGGCAGTCAAGGCTGCAGTGAGCTGTAATTCTGCAACTGCACTCCAGCCTGGGTGACAGAATGAGAACCCGCCTTAAAAAAAAAAAAAAAAGTAAACCCAGAGGAGGTAAAAAGAATAAAATGTGGTAAAAGAAGAATATAATTAAATAGAAGAGAAAGAAATGACAGTATCAATAAAATTCCTCCTTCTTTAAATAGATAAGTCTTTGGTAAAAGAGAGTAGAAGAGAGTGTGTGTGTGCAAAATAAACAATACCAGAAATGAAGAGAGACTAAGTATAGATATAGTAAATGTTTTAGTCTATTCAGGCTGCTGTAACAAAATACCATAAACTGGGTAATTTCTTTATTTGTTTTGGCAAAAGCAATGTTTATTTCTTTTTTTATTATACTTTAAGTTCTGGGGTACATGTGCAGAACGTGCAGGTTTGTTACATAGGTATACATGTGCCATGGTGGTTTGCTGCATCCATCACCCATAATCTACATTAGGTATTTTTTCTAATGCTATCCCTCCCCTAGCCCCCCACCCGCTGACAGGCCCCGGTATATGATGTTCCCCTCTCTGTGTCCATGTGTTCTCATTGCTCAGCACCCACTTATGAATGAGAACATGTAGTGTTTGTAAACTGGGTAATTTATAAACAGAAATTTGTTCTAGAGACTGGGAAGTCCAGCAGATTTAGTATCTGGTAAGAGCTGCTTTCTGCTTCACACATGGCATCTTCTTGCTGTGCTCTCATATGGTACAAGAGCTAAGAAGCTCCCTTGCATCTCTTTCATAAAAGCACTAATTCCATTCAGGAGGACACTGCCTTAGTGACTTAATCACTTCCTAAAGGCCCCACATCTCTTACTCTATAGCACTGTGGATTTGGTTTCAGCATCTGAGTTTTGGACACAAACATTCAGATCATAGCAGTAAAGATTTGGAAAACTGTATGAGAGTACCATTAACAAACTTGCCAGTAAATATGTAAGAACTTAAATATCATGGAAAATTTCCTGGAAAAATATTACAATTTCCTAAAACTGACTCAAGAAGAAGTAGAAACCCTAAAGAGAAAGTAACTCAGTAATTTAAGAAACAAACAAACAAAAAAATCACCTTGCCCATAAAGGAGCACTAAAGCATGAGAACCAGACAGGTTTATAGGCATATTTTACCAGACCTTTAAGAATTAGATAGTCTCTTTCTTTTTCAAACTATTGCAGAGACCAAAAGATAGGAACGTTCTCTAGTTCCTTTTATGAGGCCAGCAAAATTTTAATATCAAAACTAAACAAAAAACAAGAGAAACTGAAATTATAAGCTTAATCACTTGTATAGCATAGATGCAAAAATCCTACATATAATGTTAGCAGTCAAGCAACTTTTAAATATGAATGTAAGGATAATTTAATAGATGTAAAATCTATTAATGTAAATACTGTGTTAATAAAAAACCTCAAATATACCATATTATGTGATAAAAAGCTCAACATCCTCTTATAATACAGAGTTTAAACCAACTAGGAAGAAGAAAAAACTTCTTTTACCTAGAAAAAGTAAATATATATATAATAAACCTCCTACTTTGCTGTCAATGAGAGAAGCATCTGTTTTAAAGTCAGAAACACAATGAAGACATCTGTTATTTACAAAACTGTTCAACTTGTAACTGGAGGTCTTTCCCAACTCAATAAGACAAGAAATGGAAGTAAGAGAAAAATAGAGAGGGATTCAAAACTGTCATTAATTGCAGAACATATTGTCCACAGAAAATCTTCTGAAAATTACAAACTTTTAGAGCAAAAGAATTCTGTAAAATTGAAGAAACAAGATTAATAAAAAATAGATCTATTACATTTCCATACACAAGAAACAACCAATTAGAAAATGAATGACAAATTAAAATATCTCTTTCATAATAAATGGATTTTTTAAATCTGTAAGGTTCTTGGGAATAAATCTAAAGTGGTATGTTACTTGAAAGTATGAAATCATAGAACTTCAATGAGTAATGTAAAGGAACACTCAAGTAAATGGAAATATATGTCACATTCATTTACCAGAAGGCTTACAATATCATAAAAACATCAATTTTTCCCTAAACTGATCTACAAATTCAAGGCAATCCCAATGAACATTTTAGCTTGTCATGAAAATTAACAGGGTTAATCTGAACTTTATTTGCATTAATAAAGGATCAAAAGTGGCCAAGGAGATTAAAGAAAAGGAACTTGTTCCATCACATACCAAAGCTACTATAAAGCAGTAGTTAAGTAAAACAGTGTAAAAGAGACTGACAGATAGGAAAACAAAAGAATGGAGAGCCACTGTGCCAAACACAATGATACTAGGTGTGCATTAAAGCATGTTAGCACAATGCCTTGCACCTAGTAAGCACTCAGTAAACTCAGCTAACATCAGTAAGCACTCAGTGAACAAAGAGTTTGTGTTTTTATACTACCATTTGACTTTACTTCAGCATTTATACGTTGCTTAAGATTTACTACGTGAAACAAGACACCAACTAACTCAAGAATAAGTCTTGCCCTGTCACCCAGGCTGAAGTACAGTGACTCAATCATAACTCACTGCAGCCTTGAACTCTTGGGGTTCAGTGGTGCTCCCACCTCACACTCCCAAGTAGTTGGGTCTACAGGCATGAACCACCATACTTGGCTAATTTTTAAAATTTTTTGTAGAAACAGGATCTTGCTATATTACCCAGCCTGGTCTTAAACTCTGGGCCTCAAGTGCTCTTCCTGCCTTGGCCTCCCAAAGTGCTGGGATTACAGACGTGAGCCACCTAACCTCAAGGATGTTTTAGATTGAAAGTCATTATCCTGGGAAGAGAATATATTCTCTTTCAGTGCTTCTCAAGCTTCACAGTGCATCAGGATTACTAGAAAGACTCATTTGTTTTAATGACAGATTATGAAACCCTGCCCCTAAGGTTTCTAATTCGGTTGGTCTGGAATGGGGTTACAAGAGTTGAATTTCTAATAAGTTTCCAGGTGATGCTGATGCCATTGATCTGGAGACTGTTTTTTGTTGTTGTTGCTTTATTTTTTTAGACAGTCTCCCTCTGTCACCAGGCTGAAGTGCAATGGCCTGATCTCTGCTCACTGCAACTAGAACTTCCACCTCCCAGGTTCAAGCAATTCTCCTGCCTCAGCCTCCTGAGTAGCTACAGGTACGCACTACCACACCTAGCTAATTTTTTTTATTTTTAGTAGAGACAGCATTTTACCATGTTAGCTAGGATGGTCTTGATCTCCTGACCTCCTGATCCGCCCACCTCACCCTCCCAAAGTTCTGGGATTACAGGCGTGAGCCACTGCACCTGGCCTAGAGGCTGTATTTTAAGAATCACTAGTGTAGTCTTTCAAGGGTGCTTAGAGAAAGTAAAGCACTATTTTTTAAAAATATGAATCATATAAATATATATATACACACACATAATACACATATATATAAGTATATATGTAGAAGATATATGTACCCAATAGATATATGTAATAATGCAATTATTGAGATCATATTATACTCCTTATATTATAAATTTATAAAATAAAAAATAAAAATAGATATGAACTATTGTTTATTATGTGCAGGGCATGTGGTAATTGCTTAAGATACATTACTTATTTTAATCTTCACAACTCTATGAAATAAACATTTCATATTTTTCAGATGAGTAAACTGAGCCCCAGAGAGATTATAAGTGACCTAGCCGGCTAGAGAGCCATGACACCAGACTCTATCAGACTCCAGAGCCCAAGCTCTCAGCTTTTACCCTGTATTGCCTTTATCTATGAAATAACAAGTGGTTGTTCCTCATCTAACACCTATCCACAAACCTGACAACTGTTTACAATTTAAGGCACCAACAATTGGAAACATCAAGTCCACTCTGAAAGCCAGATTATGGGGCAAGGGAATAAAAAATCTTGCTTCTGTTAACCTGAAATTAACCATTTATTCTGCTGACAGGAAAGAAGACCCGAAGAAACAAATTGAAGATACTAATAAAATATCCAGGTAGCACTGGTCTTCTTGATCTCCCCAAACCTCAGAACAAAGATTCCTATGCAATACATTCATTTTCTCCCTCAGTCCCAGTGGCATCATTTGCAAACACAATAAAGAAAATAACTCAACTACCTACACTTCTTGGGAAAATGTTATAGTATTCTTTTGTTAGCTTTCTCTGTGTAGTGAGATATTACAGAAGCTCTTAAAATCTCTCAGTGTAAGGGGAT